GTTGTTAGTTACCACATATTACAACAAAACTTTTAAACAATTCAATAATAATGAACCAAATCAAAGCTAAAGAACTGGAGGTGAATATGAAATTTAAAAAGAGAACTCAGATGAGTGCAGTGGCAGAGGCGCCAAGTAAACTTTTTTTCTTTTACTACACTTAGCATTATATGAAGCCTACCTAGTAGAGATGGCCAAATGGGCCCCGTCCAATCTGCAACCGGTGGAGGATTGAGACTGCGACCGACTTGGGACCAGTTCGTCCCAAGATCGATTGGGATCGGTTTGGGACCGGCGGTCTAGGACCGGTTATGATATTCCACCGAAAACAAAGCCTAGCTCGGGATCGGTTTGGGACCGGTTAAGGGCCTGACTCAGTTTTTAATTTTAAATTTATTTTTAAATATATTTTTAAGTATATTTTTAAATTTATTTTTAAATGTGTTTTTAAGTATATTTGATTGAAGAGCAAAATGTATTTTTAGGTGTATTTCATTTAGTGTATTATGATAAAAACGTATTTTTTAGTGTATTCGGTTGACTCAGTTAAATATTCTAAAATATATATGATCGACTAAATTCTTTATAACAAAAATTTTATTTTCTATTGAATTTAATTGAACCAATTATAATATAAATGTATTTGTTACTGTATTTGATTGACCAAGTTCTTCAAAAAAAAAATATTATTTATATGTTAAAAATCGATTTTTTTAAAATAGGACCGATTTGGGCCCGACCTGGGATCGGGACCGGTTCTCATAACCGGGCCTTATACACCATAACCGGGAGTTCCCTTTTTAACCGGGACCAGTCCAGATTGTCACTGTTTCTGCCTGGGACCGATTTAGACCTGGGCTGAGACCGATTTTGGCCATGTCTACTACCTAGTCAACCAAAAAACGTAGAGACCATGGCCCCCACAACCACTATGACTATCTGCCTCTGATTGATATAATATGATATATTGATGCAAACATGTATTATTATGTTTTATGGGAGTGGTTTTATTTGAGAAATGGTAAGTACTTGAGAAGTAAAAAAGTGATCCTAGTCTTTCATACAGTCAAGATTGGTTAATAATTGCGGTTTTGACTAGTCAAAATTTACGACTTTGACTGGTCAAGTGAAAAATAAAGGGATAATTTTGTAACTTTTTATAGATAGGCGGCAAACAAGTGCATATGTGAACTCATAGTTCATATGTGAATCACATGAGTCATATTGTGAATCTTATAGGTTATATGTGAATAGCACTGTAACACCCTCAAATTTGGAAAGAGTAATTAATTTAAAAAATTTTAAATACATTAATTGAAAGATGAATTCCTTTCTAATGACAATAACCGGATCACCTACAATAGCAATTTAAGGTTTAACATCAATGATTACAAAACAAACCTTACACAAGGTCTATAAAAGGACGGTTATTACTAGAACCCAAATGAAAGGTCTTTATCTCCAACATATAAAAAGGTGCCCTCAGAAAGATAAATCTTTCTCGTGCGTCTAGCTAGCACTTACTTCATCATTGTGTCTCTAAAGCCATTCCCCGACGTGGACCTGATGCACATGCTCCCTGCCTTCTACTTCTTTTTCTTTGCCTTCTCCGGTGGTTATGGCCAAGGCAATTCCCCTTAGTCTATCCCAACCACCACAACCTTATCCTAAAAGAGGACACAATCTCAAGCCCATCTTGGTCCTTCACTGAGGGCCAAGAAAGCCAAAAAAAGGGCCAGCCAAGTCACTGACTGTTACCTCTCAACAGGTTTCAGTCATGGAAATAAGATTTATCCCCGAGGCGCTTTCTTTGGTACCCCCTCCTAGCTCTTTAGTGATATCCTTAGAGACCGTCGTACATGTGGCAAGTCACCCAACCACCTCAGGGACCCAAATCACTAACGGTGAGAATATCAGCATCGCAACTACTGAACACTCACTTCCTTTTTCAGCTATTCTCTCTTCTCCCTCTCCCTTGATCTCTACTACACGTGCTAGTGACTCACTAGTGATTGTCCCTGCTGATGATGAAGCACCCACCACGAGACCTGAGGTGGCTCCTCTCGATGTGTCTCAGACACATGAAACCTATCCTCTCAAAGGAGATTTTGAGACCACCAGTGTCAATCCTTTGGATGACGCTGAGGAACCTTCAGGTACTCCATTTTCACCCCACCCTTTCATTTCATCTAATTTAGAGCCTCTTAATGCTCAAGTTTTTCCTACTTTTTTAGGTCTTTCTACTATGGAGCCTACAACCATGGAGACAGATGTCTATGACATGGCTGAGGACGTCAAGCTCCTCCTCCCCGTCGTGGAAACAGTCTTGGAAAAAATGGACCAAGTCCACCAAGACATGCCCATCAAGAAAGACATCACTCACGACATCTCTGCTATCAAACCCGAGAGGTCTGTGAGGTGAAGAAATTGTTGAAAACAGTGAAATTTAAAGTGCACACCAACACTAAGGCCATCAACGCTTTAAACAGCAAGGCTGATGAAGTGCAAGTCAAGCTCGCCAGGCATGGTGAGCTCCTCCAACAGATTCTGACGCTTCTCCAGCATCCAGCCTGGGTATCTGAACCTTCGTTCACTGATGCTGACCGCCAATCCCTGGACCGGGTGGCCGAGTTTAACTTGTTGCAAGCCACGACCCTCTCAAACCTAAATCTTTGCATTGAAGACCTCTCACAACATCTTAATGACCTCGCCTCTTCTATTGCTGATGACAAAGAGGGGGAGAAAGACCCTCCTGAAGAAATTGTTGAGTAAACTAAAGCTGAAGATGTTGCCGTTGAGGCTGAAGCTGACCCTCTATGATCCTTCATTGATCCCCCTTGGTCCTTTAGATGAAAGGATTTCTTCTATTCCAACATCTGTAGCTCTCTCTTACCAACGGATGACTCAACTGAGGAGTCAACTCGACCAAACCAGAGTAAAAATCCTTCTTCGTACCTGTGGTTGTGGTGAGTTTGACTTTCTCATAGATGTTGAACGTGAGCTCAAGGCCGAAGAAGAGCTACGCATACAACAAAAATAGATGAAAGACAACTTAAAGCTAGCAAAGTCTCTAGCCATCAAAACTCTGGCCAAATGGAAGCTGAAGAAGAAGGACCCGGTCAAGGCTCAGGCTCAACTGCTCTCCCAAGCTAAACGTGAACATCAGAAAGCACTGATGCTGAAAGACCACGACCAGATATGGTGTGAGGAAAGAATGAAGAAAAGAATAAGTCCTCATAGAATTTCAAACATCAATGGACGGATGAAGGATGGTGGACTTCTCATCTCCATGGTCATCTCCAGAGACAACCTTGAGGATGTCACCGAGTATCCTTCATATCTCGGGCAATACGGTTACAATGAATGGTTGAAGATTCGACAAGCCATTCAACATTTAAAGTCCAAGCACATGCCAATAATCGTAGATATTCTGAATGAATTCTTCAAGAAGGTATCGAAGTTTGTTGTTGTCCCTCCAGTGCCTGAGAAGCTGCCCACAACAAAAAGAAACTTTTCAGATCCTAATGATGGACCTTCTCATTGGAATAAACATGAAACAAAGTTCTCCTTGAAGGAAATACTAACGGATCAAAAGAAACCAGATACCTCAAAGTTGAGCCTGACACTGCCAGCGAAGGGTTCTTACATACCTAACACTGTGCATATGAAATCTAAGTATGGATTAATTTTCATCGACTAGACGGTGAATACAGCTTCTAGCGAGTATCTGAGTTCCACCTCTATCCAATAGACCATCTAGAATATATCAGATCTTGTTTGGACAATGACGTACCTGGTGAGGTGATGAACCGCGGGATGGAAAAGGAGTTACTAAGATGAAAGAAGCTTGGAGAAGACGTACCAGGGTATATCAACTTCACCGACTTAGCATTGTTAACTTTCTTTATTGTAATCTTGTTTTCTTTCTTTTCTTTCAGTGTACAATCTATATGTAATAGGTCTAGCAATCACTGATGTAAAACTTCTGGTCAAGGAGTGCAGCAAGCTGCTACTACACCTGTTCCAACAGTCCTCTCAGTGCAATGTGTTTTTTGTGGAGGGGAACACTCGTATGAACATTGTCCTCATAATTTTGAATCTGTAAATATTGTTCATAACATATCAATCCTTATTCCAACACATACAATGCCAGTTGGAGACAACACCCAAACCTTTCTTGGAACAGTCCCAGTTTGAAACCACCCACTCATAAACAACAAGGAACTTCTAATTTCCAACCACAACGTCATGCAAACAACTCTAATTCTCAAAATCACCAACAAAGTTTTCAAAATGCTCAACCATCTTTTCAGAACAAACCACAGATTGAATCATCATCCTCTTTGGAGACCATGATGAAAGGGTTCATAAACCAGACCAATACACTCATTAATCAACAAAGTGCTGCCATTAGAAATCTGGAAACCCAATTTAGTTAACTTGCGCTCAATCAGAACAATAGAGCCCTCGATACCTTGCCCAGTAACATAGAAGTCCCTAGAGATCTAGGAAAGGAACATGTGAAGGTAGTAACCCTTAGGAGTGGGAATGAATTGATAGAGACAGTGCAAAAAAAAAATAGTGAACCAATTTTGTCGAAAACTGATGCTACAACATTGGTCCCTGTTAAGGAAAAAACCAGTCCAACCTTTAGATAAACAAGCATCTGAGGCCACCACTTCTGTTCCCCCAAGATCAGACTATCCCTTACTGTTTCCTGAGGATACCCTAAAAAATCAGAAGGGACTGAGGTTTTAGAGACCCCTAAGTTTGATGCTGAAACTCCATCTGAGCCCTCAAAGTGTACCACAAAGACCCAAGGAACTCAAGGCCCATCTTGTTCAACACATTTAAGCAAGAATGTGATAAAACCATCTCCTTCCTATGTACCTTACTCCCAAAGGTTGAGGAATCAGAAAGTGGAACTGCATTTAAAAATATTCTTGGATGTGTTCAAAGAATTGCACATCAACATACAACTTGTTGAGGTAATCGAGCAAATGCCTGGTTATGCTATGTATCTTAAGGACATCATAAGTAAGAAGAAGAAATTGACTGAATATGAAACTATAGCTCTTACCGAAGGATGTAGTGCACTTTTGACCAATAGCATACCCCCTAAGCTCAAAGATCCAGGAAGTTTTACCATTCTTTTTTCAATAGGTGGGAAGAAAATAGGGAAAGCCTCATGTGACTTAGATGCAAGTATCAACCACATGCCTCTATCCGTTTTCAACACCTTAGATATAGGAGAGGCTAGACCTACCATTGTTACACTTCAATTGGCCAACAAATCCAATGCATACCCTAAGGGAAGGATTGAGGATGTTTTAGTGCAAGTTGATAAATTCATATTCCCGGCAGATTTTATCATACTAGACTTTGAGGTTGATAAGGACATTCCTATTATTTTAAGGAGACCATTCCTAGCCACCGGAAGAACTTTGATAGATGTCCAGAAAGGAGAGCTGACTATGAGACTTCCGGACCAAAAAGTCACATTTATTGTTTTTAAATCCTTAAAGTACCCTGATTACTTGGAGGAGTGCTCAAGCATAGCTGAGATAGAGGTAATCTATCATGAGGAAGGAATCAAGGAAACCCTTAAGTTTAAAGAAGAGAGTGATGAGGAATTAGAGGAACAGACCGTTGAGGAAGTAGAGGCAATATGATATGATATTGTCCTAGTAGATGCTGCAGCATTTGAGCTGCTGGAAAATATTGAGTAGAAAGACTTCACCCCATCGATTGTATCACCACTTGACTTGGAGTTAAAACAAATCACATCTCATCTGAAACACGCTTTTCTAGGAGAAGAAGGAAAATTTTCTGTCATCATCTCATCTACCCTAGACTTGCACCAAGAGAAGAAACTAGTAGACATGTTGAAATTGCACACAAAGGCCTTAAGATGGACCATTGCTGACTGTTGATCCTCTCTCTCAGTGATTTGATGATAATCCATTTTCACTTATATACGAAGTATTTATGCTTTTGTCTTTTCAATTCCAGCGACCTTCATTGAGCCTGTTCAGTGATTGCTAAAGAGCTTGTACTGTAATTCAATCAGCGACAACGATACTTCAAGAAGACAACACTCACACCAAAGAACCTTCAGCCAATGTCGAAGACTGAAACTGAAGATTAGAGACTGGCGAGTACGTGGTCTGAAGCGGTACTCAGTGATATAAGCCTGTCTACATATGTGTGAAGACTGCTCAAGCCTCAACGAATGCTGAAGAGACCTTCAGGTTTTTCCAACATTCAGAGATCAAAAGAAGCTTGCTAAGCACGATTGTTGTTGTCTTGTCTTTATACACACAAATGACAAACCCATACCCTTTCTAAATGTTAGTACGATATAGAGCCGACTAGTTGACTCTATTACCCACCAACTTTAGGTAAGGTTGTCTGCTCATGAATAGGCTTTTTGTACTATTCACTATAGCAAAGGACAATCCTTCTTCTTAAGGCTTGACAAGCACTCTAACCCTACCATATTTCATTAAATGTGCATTTTAATGCAATGGGTATAAATAGAAGTGTTTCCTCTCCATGCAGAGTGTGCGCGCAACATACTCTCTTAACCTAATTCTTACTTTGAGCATTCTTGAGCTTAAGTAAAAGAACTTACTTTCTTCTACAACAAATCTTTTCWTATTTGCTAAGATTTAGTGTGTAACCAAAGATTGTTTAGATAGGTTTTCTTACCTTATCTTTCCATAAACAGTCTTGTAAAATTTGTATTGATCTTCTCTTTTCAATATACATTTTAAATTTGAAAATACTATGTTTGTATTCATCCCCCCCATCTACAAACTGTTATACATATACGGGACCAAATAGTGCTATCAAGTTAGCGTTCTATCTTCTCTAAGTTGTTTGGTTGTTTTTCTGCATTACTTTATCTTCTTCTCTAGATTACTATACTGCTTTTATATAGCTTTACAAAACACAAACACACACATTCAAGACAATGGCTCTCTTGCCAAACCTCCCTGGTTCGTTCGTGACAACTTTAGTCTATGGAAGAACTGAATGTCCCTCTTTCTGGTAGGTGTGGATCCTAAATTTTCATACTATATAGAAAATTAACCATATGTACCATTTGCTATTTCTCTGGCTGTTCCAGCAACAGCTACGATTGCCACAATTCTTGAACGGCAGATTCCAAAGCTCCCTCATCAGTGGAGTGATGAAGATAAGAAGAAGATAGCTATAGACACTAGCGCTAGGTCTATAATAGTTATGTCTCTTCCTGATGATATTTATCACTCTGTGATGAAGCTCAGGACTTCTAAATCCATGTGAGACACACTTTGTGTTCAATATGAAGGAACCACTCAGGTTCAAGAAACTAGAGAAATCAATTTAGTAAGGCAGTATGAAAGCTTTCTCTGTGGAAAGACTGAAATGATGTCTGAAGTACATCAACGTTTTAATTGTCTTCTTATTGATCTAAGGGTTGTAGGCATGGAATATTTCAACTCTGAAACGTTAACTAAGTTTCTAGAATGTCTTCCTGAGTCTTAGGACACCTTTTCCATGTGTCTTAAGATGTCCAATGACATGTCCTCTCTTTCTATCTCTACTATCTATGGGATTCTACGTAATCATGAGCAATCTCGTCAGCTGAAAAGGAATCTAGTCAAAGATTCTAGAGAAATGAAAAGCTCTCCTTTAGCTTTGATCTCTGAAGTTGGTTCAGCTGAAACTCCTTCTACTTATTTTACTTCTTCTCTTCCTCCTATTGTTATTACAGAGTTAGACTCTTCTAACTCTGAGGATATTCCAGAATCTTATCTAGCAGATTTTGATGAATCTTTGGCGCTTTTGACTAAATTATTTAGGAGATTTGCCAGCAAAAGTAACTACCACATGATCTCCTTTGCTGACCATTAAGGAAAAGCCAAAGTCTAAAAGAATAGACAAGGCTTATGTAGTCTGCTACGATTGTCACCGCACTGGACATTTTGCAGATGCATTGAGATCGAAGAAAGCTGCGATGCCATCTTCCAAGACCCTATCCTCCTTCAGATCCAAGGTTGGCAAATACTTGAAACTGAAGGAGAAGTACATGAAGGTAAAGAACAACTAGCGAAAGGCCAAGGGTCTTATCGCTGAAGAACATGATTGGGCTGATTCATCTGATGAATCATCTTCTGATGAGTAAGATACAGCCCATCTTTGCTTGATGGACAAGGATGTCAATGAAGAATCTTCAGAGGCATCTACTTCTTCTGAACCATCAACCTCTTATACTACTCAGGTATGTATCCTGAATGAACCCTGCTTTTCTTCCTCTAGCCTATTCGCACTAGATACGTTGACGGTAGATCTTTACAATGCCCTCAATGGCAAATCTAAAGCAGAAATGCGTAATCTTGATCTTCAAGAATGGTTGAAGATTTTCCATTCTAAGATCAAAGAGTTGACCTATGTTGAGGAAAATCTTAAGTATCAGGTCATTGTAAACCAAGCCATCACCGTTGAATGCAAAAAGGCTATCGCTGAGCGTGAGCGAGCAATCGCTGAGCTTAAGGCTGAGAAGGCTACCATTGAAGGGTGGTGCAAAGCTTCTATCAAAGCCTCTGAAGAATAATCTTCAGCTATTAACATCGTTCAGTAAGTGAAATGATTCAGTGCTCTATCTCTGACACTGAACTTTTGAGTAAATGTATTTATTCTATCTAAGGTATGATTACGCTTCTCTTTTCTTGAAAACTTAAAACCTTCACTGAAGCTTTTGCTCTTCAGTGACTAAAATGTTTTAAAAGTTGGTTTCAGTGATTCTTAGATCACTGACCATAAATCAGTATAACTGTTTGTACTTATTCTCTTAAAAATAAATATGATCACTGAATGCTTTATGTTCAGTGATTCAAATTTTCTTTTAAATGCCAGGTTAAGTGATTCTTTTATCACTGACACTGATGCTTAACAACTATCACTGAAGAATTTTGACTTCACTGATAAAAATGTTTTAAAAGGTCTTTTCTGTGTTTTTGTTAAACACTAAATGACACTTCATTTTCTTAAAAACCTTTTCGTTTTTAAAAGAAAATAGTTAATGAACCGTCTTAATGACGACATTCTCTATTTACAATGCACAACGCTTTGAGACGTGCAAAAAGGTACTGTTATACGCTACCTCATTTAATGTCATCCAATCATGGATGAGAACGTGCCATTTTTCGTCATGGCCCCTTTCCTCAACCGTCGTCTTTTCTCTCTCATATTTCTTCTCTCTCCCCCTACCTATAAATATGAGACTTATCCTTCACTTTTCTGTTTACGCTTTCAAAATTTCAATGACGATCCTCTGCTAAAATTACCAAGCAAGAAATCTCTCCAAAAATCTTTCAAGTTCTTCTACGACCTTTATCTCTAAACTCTTAAGGTCAAAATTTCTTCTCTTAAATCTTCTTCTAAGAAATACGTTTGATAATTTTAAGAAACTTGTTCTCTTGAAATGTTAAACATCGATGATTATTAAACCAACTATTACTTGGTTATAATCACTTTTCTTTAAACACATTCTACTTGAAAACCCTACTCTTGTTTCGAGGATTTTTCAAAAGAATTTTTTCTTGATTCAAAAACTTTACCAGATACCTCTCCTATACAAATCTTGGTTTCACTAACAGACTGTTTTATCTTATTTTTACTAAAAACAAATGGCTGCCAAGAACGTTGGATTCACCCTTGACAAGGTGTCCTTCAAGGCCAACAATCACATTGCCTTGTTGGACATCCCTTCATCCAAGGCGTATTACCAAGAGGCGACTGACTTTCCCAAACATTCGTCGCTCGGTTTTGCCCTCAACCATGAACCCATCATGGTTAAGGAACTCTTACAGCAGTTCTAGTTCACTGCTGAGGTGGTTGATGTCGAAGACAAACATGGCCGCCAAGTTGAACAAGTCAACTTCACCTTCAATCGCATGTCCGTGAAGTTTGGCGTGAACACGATGAGGATGGCTCTTCGCCTTCCCAAAGGCCCCTTCGACAGCGAACCCATAACGACCGAGATTATCGAGTGTCTCGATGCCATTGTCTATCAATGGCCAATGAAAAAGGACTCAAATGCTCCCATGAAGTCCTTGTCGAAGATTGATAAAAACAGGATGTCAGCGATCTGGCAATACCTATTCTCTCACTTCATCCAGTCTATGGGTGGAAAGACTGGAGGTCAGGACCATGCCTCTAGGATTTCCTTGACAATTGGCATTTTTGTGATTCAGAGTTGCAATATAAATTATGCTACGGTCATTTTCGATGACCTGGTGCAAAAGTTGAACAAACGCCAACGAGAAAGGTGGTGCCTTACACCAAGTTCCTTTCCATGGTCTTTGCCAAGATCTTTGGAGTTAAATACTCAAAGGAAGGCAACCTTCAGGTTTCCAAGCTTGGATCCAGGATTCTGGATCCTATGCTGATGGACAGTGATGTGACACAATCTTTTATAGTGTCCCTCACTACCTCCTCTCCTCAGGTGGCCAGGACAAGGGTAACCCCCCCCCCTCCCGCGTCTAGCCCAGCCACCAAAACCTCCTCCAAACGACCTTCACAACCAACTATTGGTTCTTCTCAGAGAGCCAAGAAGGCCAAAAAGGGGATAGCCACATCTTTGGCAGAGACCTCTCGACAGGTTTCAGCTATTGAAACAAGC